CCTTTTCTGCAGTCAACCATATTGAATCCAACTGGGTATTAGCAAAAATATGAAGTATTATTGCTAAAGCTCTAAACAGTAAGACTTTTTAAAGAACAGTTTAGACTTAATAGATATCTTTAAAATGACTTTAAAAAAAAAAAAAAGCAATGGGATACACAACATACAATTCATCTGGGTCTGTTCCTGCTTACATTTCGCTACTTCTGTGTGAGAAGCACAGCAATTTTAATTAGCCTTACTGACTGCACTGGATAAACATTTACTGAAGTTTTCATCATCTCTCTACATACACTTCTGCCTTACTTAACTCTTGATAATTACCAAGAGTTATTTAAAAACAGATCAGAATATATGTTTCAATAATAACCAAAGAGAAAGCAGAGGCTGAAGCAGGCAGTGTCCCTTGAAGGGCTGCTGCTCTTCCCTGGGAGGGGACACTAGGTGCTCCAGCTATTTAAAGCTGCAGTATTGAACTTCTGGGGGGGAAAAAAAACGTGTTTTTTTTTTTTAACCCATGATTATTACAAGTGCAAAATCCTAAGATTACTTGAATTGAGAAAAACTGGAGGAAAATCTTTTTTCATTCACATACAGTGCTCTGTGTACCTAGTCTCACTGTAGCTCATTTCCTCTTTTGTTTTGTTTTTCCCCAAAAAAGTTACAAAGGAAAAAGGAAAACCATACCAAATAGATGGCTTTCAGTTTTGAAGGCGTTATTTGTTGGTAGCCAGTCATTACACATCACACATCAAAACCATCTGTGGCTTACTCTGTTAACACAGTTTTATTGCAATGTTTTAATGATCTCACCAGCTCAGTTTGAGAGAGGAGAGAACAATCACAACAGCAGGTTTTATTGGTGGCACTGCTCTCCCCGTCTCTGCAACACACTGCACCAACATGAGAGGATTCACAGACAGCGTTCACAACAGCCCCCAAGCGAGCAATTGGTACCAAGCGGTGCTGTACTCGCTCTGCCCACAAAAAGCAGCAGGGCACTCAATCATATTCCACACTCAATTTCAACGCACACGGCAAGTGCATCTGCTGCTCGTAGCCTTAAATACACCTTTATCAGGGGTATTACAATCTCGGGACTTTCGCACCGCTTCAGGGCCCGCGCAACCCTTGGCAGGGCGTAGGAGGAGGCCCACAGATGGCAGCACACTGAGCTCAGCCAGGTGCTTCCTGATCAGACCAAGGTGCTGCGCCAGGAGAACCCAGCTGTGGGCACAGTAATTCACACTGACTCTCAGCTGGACACCTGTTTGCACTGACAGGATCAGTCCTCCACGCAAGGTAAGCTAAGCAGCAAACCATGTGGTAGTTCCACACTGCTTTGTGAGTACTGGACAGAAGGCAGTTCATTAGTGGAAAGAAGTAACTCTGGAAGTAAACTACTTGGAGTTTCTGTGCTGACTGCGCTTGCAATGGAAATCAAAATAAAAGAACCAATCAAGTGCAGCAGTAAGAGATGGCTCTTGCCTTAGCTAACCAAGTATCGCCTTTGAGTCTAAGCTCTGCAGTATTTTTAGTACTTCAAGCACATGCTTGTTTCAAATAATTTTCATTCATTTTTAGCATATATTAAAAACAAGTCAGAAGAGAACAAGTGTTTTTGTTTGTTTTTTTTTAAACAGAAGAATTATACAACAGAGAACACAGAACAGGAGACAGTTATGCTAAGGGAGATTTAAGAGAGAGAAAAGAGCAGAAAAATGACATGGCATGGCTGATCTGTGGACAAGATCATTTTTAATGCTGAAGCCCTTTTCCACATCTAACATATAATCTATATAGTCTGTGTTACCAGCATATTCACAGACAAACTGCCATCCAGCATCACAAAAGTGTTTATGTACTCAACCTGTTCCCACAAATGGTCAACAGTATGTATTGCATAGTAGTGTACAAAAAAAAAAAAAGACATCTATTCCCTAATGCTGACAGGTTAATCACACATTAATATATTTCAAATTGAGGATTTTTTCTTCATCAAAATAGAAAAATCCATCTAATTAAACTAGTTATACTCTAAGAAGCCTTTTACAGACCTTCTGACTTTCCCCAGGAGTCCCAGAGGCCAACCTATGAAAGCTTTTTTCACTAAGTTCTAAAGATGCAGAACTCCCTTCACTCACCACATTCCTGTGTTTTAGAACAAGAAACATTCCTACCATTGGTCCCTACACTACTCCGTTTTTCTCAGCTCTATTGAATCTTCTCTTAAGGTCAACTGCCTCTCCAAACAAAGAAAAGAAAAAACAACAACAAAGAGTTCCTACCTTTCAGACTGTCTTCGCAAGCAAGACTTGCCATACTCCACCAGTAGTTCTCACTGCACATCTCAATTAGCTGCTCACAAAGTGCCAAGACCAGCAACAGCATCTCACTGTTGCACCCCCACACACCCCTAACTTGTTTTTCCTACTACCACTCTCCCACTCCTGAGACTCTTTGGCTGATCCCTCCCCAGACCGACCCCCTAACAGGGACTAAGAGGAAGCATTAGAACATCAGCCCCCTGTGCCTTGCTGCTCTTGATAAACACAACTGAACATCACCACCTCTCTGTACCTTCTACTAAAGGATTGCAAAATTATGTGATGGTATTTCTGATGAAAAAGGAAATGGATTCTTAACAGGAAGGTCACTTTACAAAACAGCAGTCTTGCCAAATTCTCCTTGCATTAGCATAAGGATTTCTAACACAGGGAAGAATAATGCTACGTATGATTAGTACTCATCTCTACTGGTGCTGTTGCGAGCATGGAAGTAACTTTTCAATGCCTTAAATTTGTACTAAAAAAAAAAAAAAACAACAAAACAATCATCAGTTAGTAGCAGTTAACTGAAGTTCCCATACATGTGAGGAAGGGGGTAAATTCAGGCTACCCCATTTATCAACGCAGCCTGCCTGAGGTAGTGAGATTCTCTCTCTTTCACACTCTCCCTTCAGAATATTCAAGTCGTTATCACAAAAGTAGATTCAGGAAAGCCTAATTCAGGCAACAGCTTTCTTTCATGAAACAACGAGCACTATTTTCAAGAAGTGGTCCCTGCCTATCGCCATTACCCTAACTGCTGTTGTTTGGAAAGAGGGCAATACTCTTCATCTCACAGCAGCCACCTGAGGCACTGCTTTGCAGCGAGAGCCGTGGCCCAAGAGCGGGTGGGCACCTACAGAGCTTGCCAATGCTCCTTGGTGGATCACACCACCACCAACTCACCTTCATCTGAACACACCCAGCCGCAGCACAACAACGTACCAAGTAAAAAAAAAAAAAAGCAAAGACTCCCACAGGGAAGGCAGAAGTATTTTCCCAAACACCACATCCCAGCCCCGACCTCTGGTCAAGCCACCCACTGGCACTGCTAGGGATAGCCTGTGTGAACAAGTTTAAATTTATCCCTTCATTCATACGTAGGTTAAATATGGGAATTGGTTCCGCATTAAACATTCACCACACCGCGCCGAAGCTGAAAGATACCTTTCACGCTCAAGTTTACTCTAAACTATATATACACCAGCAACGTAGTGCAGAGCAGCGCCAACAAACGCACGGGAGCCGTCCGGTTACGCGCCGGCTGTGCCGGTAACCAGAAGGGCAGCCCCCGACACACGGGGCCGCCGCAGCCGCGCAGCCATCCCCGCAGCGCCAGGCGGTTACCCAGCCCGGCCCCGGCCCGGCTGCGCTCGGCGAGGTGCATTTGAGTAAGAAAAACAAGTCTAAGCATGAAAAAGATCTAGGTGTGCTCTAATTTCGTATGCTGCGAACGAGAAGCATTTCTGATTTAATCTCATTAGTCTGCGCGTCTGTTGTGCAGACAAAAAAGGGAGAGCTCGGCGCTGGGGCCCCCCCGCAGGTGGGACGGAGCCGAGCAGCACCGGGACACGGAGCCCCGCGCCGAGAGGCGCTGAGCACTTTCCGCCCATTGTTCTGACGGCGCTGACACCAACTTAGGGACGACCCCGCGCTCCCTCCTGCGCCAACGGCAGCTCCTCGACTGCCGCCGTCTTCGCACCGACAGAAGAGAAAAAGATCGAACGGGGACGGGGGCAGCGAGAGGACCCTAACCGGGGGGAGCGGAGGACAGGTGTCCGCGCCGGGCGAGCGCCCCGCCACCGCTCCGTGCCACCGCTCCCCCGCCCCGCCCGGAAGCAGGTGCAGCGCCGCGGGCTCCCGGGGCCGGGCCGCGTCCACCCGGGTCAGGCGGCGGGCCGGCAGCCGGCGGAGGGCGGGGCGAGCGCGGCCATGGGCGGCGCAGCGGCTCTGACACCGGCCCGGGAGAGGGTGCCGGGAACAAGAAGCTCTACGCGGCCCTGCGCGGCAGAGGCTCCGCGCGCGCACAAGCACGCACACACACACACACACACACCCGCACACAAACGCACACACAACAACAGCGCGGCAGGCGCGTGCCACGCTCCGCGCGCGGAGCCGCCGCCGGATCCCGGGCCCGGCGCGCGCGCGGCGGCCGTTTGTTGTTGCCGCGTCCCGGCCTAGCGCGGCACCGACACGCGGCGGGATGGGGGCAGGGAGCAGCGGCCCGGGGCTCAGCGCCGCCTCCCACGCGCCCAACTTTCACTTCCCCGCGGAAGGAGCCGGGCTGCAGCCGGCCGCCCCCCTCCCCGCCCGCGCCTCTCTCCCCGCGAAAAGACGGGGCCGCGGGATCCCCCCCGCCGAGCGGGGAAGGGATTCCCCGGGCCGGGCCGGGAGATCCGCCCTCTCCCCCCACCCCGCGGCGGGGCACGGGCTCGGCGCCAGCCGCGACCCCTCCCCGCCGGGCGCCCCGCGGCGCTGCCGGGGAATCCCCTCCCTCCTCCCCGCCCAGGTGTCAGCCGTTGGGGGTAACCGCTCCCGGCCGCGGGGAAAGAGGGGGGCAGGGGGGGGGGAAACGGCTTACTCGTAGTCCCTGAAGATCTCGTTGGTGACCCTGCAGTAGAACACGCGTTCGTCCGGCCGCAGGTCGGCGGGGGGCTTCTCCCTCACGAAGGGCTTTCGGTGCAGCAGCGGCATCGCCCCGTTCCGTTCTCTCCTCGCTGCGCCGGGACCCGGGGAGAAAGGAGACGGAGGGAGGCGGTGAGCGCGGGCCCGGCGCGTCCCTCCCCCGCGGGCGCCGGAGAAGGAGCGGCAGAGAGCGGCGGCACGGCGGGATCCGGCGGCGGCGGCGGCCTTTTGTGTGCCTGACACGCCGCTGCCTGCCTGGGACTGCGCGGGGAGCGGCGGCGGATCCTTCCTCCCCCGCCTCCTCCCGCCGCTTCACAATGGGGCCATGACGCCGAGCGGCGGGCGGGCGCGGCGCCCCCCCCGCCCGCGCCACACAACGTGCTCCGCGCGGGGACACCCCGGCCGCCGCCGCCGCCGGCTTTGTCTCCGCCGGCCCCCCCCCGGCCCCGGGTCGCCCCTTCCCCGCCTCCGAGCCGCGCGTCGCGGCCGGACACAACTTCCACTCCCCGCGGGGCGAGCGCGGCGGCGGCCGATCCGCCCGCTTCCTGCCGCCCCGCCGCCCCGGCGCGCTCCGCAGCCCTTTCCGCCCCAGCCGCTCCCCGGCCGCCGCCGCCTGCCTCCGCGGGACGGCGCGGCCCTGGCTCCGGGCGCGGCGCGGGGGGCTGCCCGGCCCCGGCCCTCCGCCGCCCGCCTCCTACCTGGAGCCGCTGCTCGGGCGGTACGCAACGCGGCCCGCGGCTCTGCCCCGCTTCTCCTCTGCCCCCCAGCTCCCGGGAAGTTTTTGATCTACTTCTTCGAGCCCTCAATCAGGAAGAGCTGCTGGGAGGAGCTTTCCACTTCTCTCCCCTACATCTTTATTGGCCGCTCGGTGCCTTCCAGCGTGTGTCACACAGGAAGACAGAGAGCTACATTATTAATTAATGGCTGAGAGGGCTCATCCTCCATTTTTGAATTATCAGCCTGCGATCTGCCGGGCGGGGGGAGGAAGGCGGTCCTCGCCGCTCGGCCCCCGGCCCCGGGGATCCCTGCCGCGGCAGCGCTGCGCTGAGCAGACGGCCTCGGCCGCGCGGCTCCGCGGCTTTCCCTTCCCGAAGCCAGGGAGAGCCGGCTGCCGACGCGCACGGCGGCACGAGGGTGTGCGTGTTCTGCTGCAAGCAAGGTCGTCTGCGCGTCAGATACGCCCGGAGCTGGGCCCCGTTACGTTACCCCCTTTATTTTTCCGCCAGTTCGTTGAAAACGTCCGTACATCGCGTTACCGGTGTACTCGGGTTTTGTTTTTTTCACCGTTTTCGCTATCTTTAAGGCATTTCCATGCATAATTAAAAGAGGGACGTTAGTCTAATTGTGATCTCTTAAGTGACAGCCGGCTTAGAGATGTATGCAGAGTGCGCAGCGCAAGCTCCAGCGCTTACACAGTAAGCGGACATAACTACTGCAGAAACCCCCCAGAACCACCCAGGTGGGCGGTGTCTGAGGGCTGACATCTAAGCAGGAATCTTCAGCATCAGCCCTGCTCAGGCACAGAAAGGTGCTGTGCTACTTCCTGCACCTGTGCAGGAGCTGTTTGTCTTCCCTGCAAGGATCGGCGTTGCTGTAGCCCGGATGACTGCAATCTCAAAGAATGTTTACACTCAAAGTCATGAATTGCTTTGTTTAAAAAGCGATCGGGTTTTAATCAAAAGCACCGAGAAATTGCAGTGCTCTCCTCAAGTTTACAAATTATTAAGCTTGAACAACAGCACAGGTTAGCTCCGAGTCCCACCAGCTTATTTTTATTTGCCAGTTGGCTTCACTTTCAGTTTTTAATTAATTACCAGCAAATGGCACAAATGCAACTTCAGTTAGTGCACTTCTAGCGCATCTAACATCTCATAAATTTTAGTTTTGCATCAGAACTCTACAGTATGCCACGGTTGTGACATTTAGTGTTGGCAGCCCTTGTGATTACAGTGAGATTTTGCAACACTACACTTTGTTTTCAGCTCAAACTCCTCGGCAGATGGGATTAAATTGGAACCTCGGCTTACATAAAAATAATTACATTTCTAAATCTCGAGTTGGAGAGAAGAGCTTGAATATGTGAACCTGAAACTCACAACTTAGAAGGGAATTACAAGTCTCGAGTTGATCATTTTTGAAAGCATCTTTACTTTTAAGCCAGTATCGTGGTATCTGAGAGTTGGGCTGATTTCTTCTTATGCCTGGATTGTCAGCACAGCGCTATTTCAGAATTAGTTGGTATCCATGAAAAATGCATGAGTTGACAGAACTGTGACATCAAAAGCAAATCCCCTTTTCCTCTTTGCTCTCCCTTGCCCTCTCTCTTTTCTTCTCACCTTTTCCTCCTCCTCTTGTTCTTCCCCCCTCATTATTCCCGCAGTGACTTCCCAATGAGCAGATCCTCACTAAGTACTAGGGCTGCACTGCGTTCTGATATTCTCAGGATACAGAGGAGCAGTTCATAGAGTTTTCACCTCCGAATCCAGCTCCGTTATTTAAACCCCTCTAAGCCAATCTCTGACTGCTCCCAGTGAGGTCAGTGGAAACTAGAACCATTTTCTATGGCACCAGATAATGGCTACTGAGGGGGCATTGAGATTGCAGTGGAAAATAATTCTGAGAAGTCTGAAAAAAATGTCTCTTTGCTTTCATAGGAATATTTATTGCATTTTTGCACTGTATTTGAGTGTTGTAATCATTTGGTGTGTTTTTAATACGTCACAGAAAATATAGTTTTGACTACGGACATCAGACTGGGGTTATTGATGTGGATTTTGCCACGGAGGGGTAAAAAAGCTGCTTTTGTTTTTAGGAGATGTATTCTATCAGCTGTTCTAGGTGGAGTTCCTTTGCCAGTGAGTGAAGTTGCAGTTCTCATTCGTAGAACTTTAAAAAATAGTTGAACTAGGAGGATAAAATCTCAGGAAGCACTTTGTCTGTGTGCTTTACAGCAGTAGGACAATTTATGAGGGTCAGTGCTGGCCAGGGCTCTGAGCAGCTCCCCAGCTGGTCCTTCAAAACTCCCCACAATTCTGCTTATGTTTTACTTTTCACTTGCCCCCTGCTTCATCACAGATTTGTTTTCCTTTCTCGTCTGCTATTTCTTCTTGTCCTAAAGCCACAAAGAACTGATTTACACAGAGATAATCCAAAATACCTGTTTACATCAACCATTACCAAATAATTCTATATATAACAACTGTTATTCTGGAACAAATGCAATAGAATTATTTTAATGTAGCATTGTCACTTTAAATTCACACTTAACTTTATACTGGAATAACTAATATTTAGCCAAATCATATCCTTGGAACCATGCAAAAATAAGACTTTGACCCAACCTGTTTTACCTGTAATACCATGCAGCTGGGAAGGTGTTTTTTTCTTTTTTTCTTGGAGTGTTTAGCCACATGCTTGCTTGCTTTTTTGCTCATCTTTTTCCCAAAGGCTCCCAGTTTCTTTTTTCAGGCTTTGGCTGAAATTAAAAAAAAATAAAAATAAAAAAAAAAGTGCTGTGGGAGCTCTTTGTAGAGAACTTCACTGGACTTTGAATGAGTCTGTATAGGTTCTCAACTCTTATTTTTATAAAGAACATATGGTGCAAAAGATAAACTTGAAAGATGAACATACTTGTTGAAGTGATACATTGCTAGGGAGATGCTCAGACAAATGACAGTTATAGTACCAATAATCTCTATGTTTTTCTATGTTGTCTGCAGAGTGTAAAAAAGAAGAAAACTATAACATACATATGAGCATCAACTCAATTTAAACGCGCCAAACAGATTTTCTTGGGATATTATAGCCCCCTTTCTTTCCAAATGTAGTTCTGCATTTCCATGGTGCATACGCAAACCTTCGCTCCCCTTTAAGCTTGAGGCACCCAGCAGAAACACCTTATTTCTCTGGTGATGCATTTTATAACTCACTGATAGAACTTGTTCACCTCTTGCCCTTTCTGCACCACCTTGCTGAGCACTCATTCTTTTGATCGTATATCTTTATTTAGACTTTAAACTATGTGAGGAAAGACAATGTGCTGCTTTTATCAATACGCTCCAGCTGTGTGTAACAGCAACATTTGGTCTATTGTCTTTTACTGGCTGCAAGGAACTACACTCAGTTTTTAATAACTTACTTGCTTATAAATAACATGCTTCAGTCAAAAAAGGAGGAGATGCAGATAGGCAGTTTTTCACAGCACATTTCATTTTTTCTTTCATTCTAGCTCAGCTGTATTTCAACATGCATTTAGAGCAGTTCTGTAACCACAAGGATAGTAGATTCCTTATTCTGCCTCTGGGTACATTCAGCACTTGTTGCTTTCACAAGAGACAAATAAAGGAGGAGGTAAAGAATCAATCCCTACGTTCTATGAATTTTTGACATGTTCGTATTTGTTTGGTAGTTCCTTGATGGTCTTAACCCAGCATCTTACTTGCTGTAATAGAAGGGAGGGCAGTATGTCATGCCCAGAGCCTGCTTTGCCCATTGCTGAGTTTTGATACCATAATAAGTACCAGGGCCCATCTCTCACCAAACCCTCTGGGAACACTGAAGTATTTTGTGTAAGAACTACTCTGTTATTCTGTGTTCTTTTTGTGTGTGTGTCTTCTTCTTTTTTTCTTTTTTTCTTTCCCCTCCACAGCTTGATAGGATTTAGACATCTAGTTCTCCCTGCTTTTAATGGATACTGCACGCTTAATGCCCTTAAAGCTCCACAAATTAGGGGATACACTCCTTTAAGATTTCCTTTAATCATACCTATTTTTTCTCCTCTCAGAAAGGGCTATTAGAGGTATTTAGGCTGATAACCTTATACAAGTGAGGAGGAACTCTGACCTCATCTACTGTGCAGCAGTGACCATGTATCATTGGCCTCTGACTTGATTACAAAATGATAAAATCACATTGTGAAACCACTTTTCATTTCCTAATAGTGTCTCTGAAACCAGCTTAAATTCAGAGAGGATTGGTACTGCATTTTCTTAGTTACAGTTTTTTATAATGCACAGGATACAGAGTATTGATGCTACTGTCATCTGACACTAACGCTGGATTTCTCATTGCCAACCAGTATTTAGAATGACCAATGACTGACTAACGATTCTGAATGAAAGCTGGGTGGACTTACTACCTTCTTCTATTTATGTACATTCTCACTCCCAGAGTGATGTGTGGCACTTTAGAATAAACACTGTGCATCAAACTGTTTGAGACCCAGATATGAATCAACAAGATATACTTTATGTGGTCAAGTCTGAGAGTAAGAAATCTAGAACTGCACAATATTAACTTACCATTTACTAAACTTGCATTGACTTTATTGTAATTAATTATATTGAACACCTCTCTTTCAGCTGATGAGTGGAGCCCGCAGTATGAAGGATGTTGCTATACTTTATGGCTTTTTTATATAACAGCTGCAACTTTTTTTTTTTTTTTTTTTGCAGTAATACTAAGATTAGCCAAATCTGTTTGTTTGTGGAAAGAGATCCCATGCATTGTAGTTGCTGCTTAGTAGCACATGAAGAAAAGTTGGCCCAGTCCCTAGTCTGGGTCATTTAGTCCAGGATTACAGGAATGAGCCAATCTGAATCATAAAATTCTGCCCAAATACACACCGTGATGGGTCTTCATTGAGCCATTTGTTTGACAAATGTAATGACTCATGATCATTACTGGTATTCTGACTAATCCATGTGATACAAGGCTGCTTTGGCACCCAACTAATTTTCTTCTGTCTTGCTGCTCATCTCTCACAGAGGGCTGTAGGAAGGCTGAAGCACAGAGATTAACCACGTAGGCACCATTCTGACTATAGATGCCAAGAAGAAGTGGTGTGAAAGAAGCCAGCAGCTGCTTGAGCCTCATCCTGCCTGGTAGTGCTCCTGATGCCTCCCCACATGGCATCACACAGGCTGGTCCTGCCAAGGAACGGCTCCAACACAGCACTTATGCACAGGAACTGCTTCAGCTCAGGTAGACAAGGGCAAGCATAAAGCACTGTCTTGTCCTGGATGCAAAACAGCCTGCAATTTGATTTCAGCCCCTTGGTTTCCCCTGAAGGGCTTGTATTAGCAGGGTGCTGGCAGAGGCATCCAGACCTGATGCACTGAGTCCTAACACAGGAGGGGAGGTCACCATCACAAAGTATTGTTTAGGGGAACCTTACATGCAAAGAGCATCCTCTGGAAGGAGTGCTCCTTCGGCACAGACCCACAGTGACCTTCCCTCCTCCCATAGCTCTGGGGACAGGCATGTGTTAGATGTACACCACTGTCACACTGCCCCTGCTGGGGCCTCATGCTCTAGGGAAATTGAGATACTGATGGGATTTCTACATTTCTTAAATCCAGGCACTTGAAAGTATGTTTATTTTATACAAAACACACAGAGAAAACAAGTTGAAAGTGATAAATCCAGTGCTTGCTTTGGTCTTGCTGGCTGTGGAAGGCTAAGGATGCACAGCAAGTTAGTAAGACTGTTTCTGTGCCACTCTACCGATAAGCATACAAAACAAGAAAGAAAATGCACATTTTCTTTTGTTACTAGTACCAATTCAGCACAAGCACTGATAGAAGGAAATTGCTAAAGATTCAGTAATCTGTGGGTTAGGAATTAAAAATTATTTCGGTCACAATTTTCAGTCATCCAGGAAATTCCTATACAAAAAGCAAAGACAATTTCATGATCCTAAACCACATTCAGAGATGAAAGTTATGGGAGCTGAGATCTCATTTAGTACAACTCCACAGTGTGGATACAGGTATAATGTAAAAATGCTTCTATCTGAAAAGTTTGTTTTACATAGGAACACCTTCTAGGGGTTCAACGTATCTTTATGCATCTCTAGATGGAGCCAGGTGTAAGGCCGAATTGAGGTAGCTGTGAGATGCTGTGAGTTGGTGCACTGTACATCTGTGACAAAACTAAAGGCTCAGGGAGAGAACCTCCTGCTCTGTAGGTACAGTTATACAAATGCAAGGCACACGTATGACCTCAACTCTCAATGTCTTGCCTGTTGTGCAACTGGGAATTTATCCAGAATGCGTGCATACTGCATGTACGCATGCTTGAGTAAAAACGCCTCACAGCTGGCATAAGTCGAAATAAAACAATTTTTTTTTCTTTTATTTCTCTCTTTACCAGCGATACTTCACACAGTATTAAGGAAGCTTCTGGCAGAAGGACAAATTGTAAAAATCAGGAAGATTGGAAAAGGTGCACCAGGAAACAGTGCTCCGTTTTATGTCAGTGGCGACGTTCTCAATGAGATCCGCAACCGCAGAGCTCATAACCGACTTCTGAAGCCAACAGATACGCAGTATTTCAGTGCTCACATAAAACGTCGTTATGAAAAGTTGTAACTTTTTACAGTGTTTGCAAAAGCGAACAGGAACCCCGCCGACCCAGCCCGCAGCACCGCCGAGCGGGGAACCGCATGGCAGCGCTGCCTCCGAGCGGCCCCCGCCCCGCGCTGCCGGTCCCGCAGCTGCGGGATGGGGAAAGCAGTGACGCGCGAGAACTCCTCTGCCTCCGCGGCCGCGAGCAGCTCGGAATCGCTGCTAAACACCCGAGGTGTCACCGCGGTGCCTACGCGCCGGCGGCTCCCTCCCGGTGGGGCAGGGACGGACATTTTCTCGCTCCCGCTGCCGCCCTGCTCGGCCAGGCGACGGACGTACGTCCACCAGACCGAAAGAACTCCCCCGTCAGCCCCCGAGCCGCCAGCCCGACGCAGCGCCAGCCTCCGCTCCGCGCCCCCCGGCGGCAACCCGGGCCCCGCGGGGTCAGTGCCCGCTCCGGCCCGCCGGCTGCGGAGCTGCGCGGGGCAGGCGGGCGGCCTGACTGCGGCGCCCCCTGGCGGCAGCGGCGGCACGGGAGCGCCGGGCGGACCCAGGCGAGAGGGGATGGCGGCGCGGTGCTGCCCCGCGCCCCAGGGCATCGCCGTCCCTCCGTGCGGGAGGAAAGGGATCCGCAGCCAGCCTGCGGAGCGGCCCCCCTCCCCCCCCCCTCCGGCTGCGCGCTGCCTCCGCCTGGCAGCGTGCGTGGTCCGTTTCGATAAGGCTCGGTTAAAGCTTAACCCGGGCAGGCCGAGGGGCGAGCGCCGGCGGCGGGCAGGAAGCGCTTCGCAGCAGTACCCCGCCGGGAGCTGCGCCCGGGGCGGAGCCGCCGTCGCCTCGTCCTCAAGGTCCGGTCCGCTCCCCTCCAAATGGCGGCGTGGCGCTGCACGCGTGCCGTCCGACCCGGCTTCCTCTCGCGTTCTGCTGCACCCGCCCCGCAGCGGCCCTCCCGGCGCCCAGGCAGGGCGCAGCAACCGCGCGGTGCTGCTGGGGGGTCGGACATGGGGCCTCCGTTACACCGGAGCTGAGCATCTGTATGCTGCCCGACTGCCCTATATCGCATAGGTCCTCCTGTCCTGTCTTACCCTCGGTTTTATGGTCCTTCACTTCTAAGCGTTCGGAGTAGGATACAAGCTCCTGCAAACTGTTTTGGTTTTGGAGCAGTAGGGAATGCAGAAGGGAAGTTTTCCAACTCCTCTTTAACATAACCTTCCCAGATCCCACTCCTGGCCCTGCTGTGAGCTCTGCAAACAGCCATCAGCCACACAGTCCAACACGTGTATGTTTTACCCTTCCACAAGCATGCTCCAGAGCCTTTGCAAAAACCCTTTTAGAAGAGAAACTCATTTTGAACTTTTAAAGAACACAAGGTCAGAGGTTTTACATCAGAGGTGAATATGATCTACAGTTTGTCAAAAGGAGAAGGTGAATATCACCCCAACCTCTGCAGGCAGAGCTCTGCAGACTGTAGAGGTCAGAATACCAGCTGTAAGGCCAGGCCTGAAGGCCTACAGGTGAGGATGCAGGTTCTAGGGAGGGCATTTAAGGTAAGGTGACAAATGCCGACATGGGTCCCTGTGTAGCTGCTCTATAGGTAATCCTATCTGAACTTAACAATTGTACTAAAAAAAAAAAATAATCGAGCCTTGCAGGTTACTTGTGCTTATGCAACTTGGAAACAAAATCTATCAGTTGAGCCAGATCCTTGGCATGGCTCCAGCAGCTCAAAACAGCTCCAGAGCCAGCAGCTTAACTGCCCCAGCCATAAACGTGTTCACATCACCAGGAACAACTCAGCAGGGCACAGACCCACTGGGACAGCCTGCACTTGTCCCTTTCTCAGCTCTGATGCCCAGAACAAATGGCACAAGCTGTATGTACCCATTCTGCTGTGGGTCTGCCTCGGGAGCACCCCAGAGCTAAGGGTCATGGAGTAATTCTCCAAACTGCAGAATGACACAAAACTTGCAACCCTTCAAACAAAAAAACTCTTTTTTTCTTTTTGAAGTCATCTTTGGATGAGGAAGGATCAGCTCAGCAATAAGAAACTATTACTTTTCATGCCAACCAATAGGATTCAGTACTTTTACTTTTCTTTGTCTCCAGTGAATCAGCCCAGGTACTATTTTTTTTATTTCCTGTTGGTTGCTTTATGCTCTCAAGCTTCTGGTGGGAAAATGAAGAAGTTTGATGCAGTAATAAAAAAGTCAACATTTTACAATGCTGAAAACTATTTATAGCAACATCAACAGGTTGTAGTCCATTGACAGTCATACGTTTCATTTATTAGCTTGGGCTAAATGTGGGGTGCCCTGGGACACGTGTGTCTTTGGACAGTGATAGCTCTGGAAGCAGCAGCTATCCAAGGGAATGGGTTGAATATGAAGACCTGAGCAAGAAGTAATCCTGTGTGATTTTCCCAGATAGATGAGAATGCATTAAGAGCAAAGGAACTACCTCCTTTGGGAAAAAAGCCCAAACAAGACAGAACAAAAACCCAACCTTCTGTCTAGCAGTTGCCTGGAGCAAAGGGACAGATTTTTTTTGTGTGTGTTCCTGTTGCCTAGAGTCATGTGGAACCTTTGCCCTTTTAGAACTAGCTACAAATCTTGGGCCTGACTGGGTATTGCACTTTGTGAGAAGGAACAAGAAAGAAAAGAGGGAAATAATCATTGAATGGATCTGAGAGCCAAGCACAGGATTTAAGAAAAATGAATTGCTTACTGCCTTTTTACAAGGACTACAGAGAAAGGGATGGAGTTGGTATTATCCCTTTGTCCTTCCAATAGATGTACTAATTCAAAGACTCAAATAATCACTTCTTCAAAACAAAACTAAACATTATTCACAAATTTTACAACAATCAGATGTTTAGTTGGAGCAACTCTCAATGTGCATCTAAGAGACAGGCAGTGCCAGTTATGAGGAAAAGGGAATACTGCACCTCAGACTAAGTGAGCCTTCGTGCCGCTACAATGAAGCGGCTGCAGAGAGCAGCTCATAATCACTTGAAGTGAACTAGATAACACACACATAAAATCTAGAAATACCATAAACATAAACTGGTTTTCCTTAGGAAAACGAAGTAGCAGCAAAGATTTTCCAAATGCAGGCTCTTCCGTGTTTAACTGAGAAAAGAACAAGGACACCTGGAAGAGATGCTGATTTTAAACAGTTTACAGCTGCTTCACTGGTGTAAGTGATGATGGTGCCCTTCTTGTAGGTGCATGAAATCCTGTTTCAAAAGATTTTTGTCAGTACCATGTTTTGAATGGCAAGGCTGTAACAAAGATGAAACATGACAGCCAAAAAATTAGAAGGCAGCAGAGATTCCTGACTGAAAGTACTTTTTTCATAATTTCAGAACTCACCTTCTGATTTGCTCTGTCCCCTTATCTCTCTATGTGAACTTTGTCTCATGGAAAGATAATAAAAAGGTTGTGCAAATGATTCAGTTGAGTCTCCCTTCTGACAGCCTGCAGGGAAAGTGAGTGGTATATAAATATTAACTGTACAGGGAGAAATTCACCTTGTTTGTCAAAGCCCAACTTTAAAAACATAGAATAAAAAATATAGAATATTCTGCAAGATACTCTATGCTAGATTTATATCATCTGTTAGCAATTTCCTTTACAGTTTTCTTTTTAATATTTATTACATCTTTGAACGCATCAGTTTCTTAGAATTCCTAGTTCTGAAATAATTCAGAATTTAGATCATTACAAAAAATAAATTGCTGTATTACTTAAAGTGCATTCTTATCAATCAGAAACACAACTGAGCATTGGACTGTCATATCCAGTTTTACAGCAGTAGTGTACATCAAAAGTTAGCTTGCTCTGAAGTTATAAAAACTTTTCAAGAGAGACAGAAGTCACAGTTCATTGCAATATTTATAGTATTTAAGAATGCTTTCAAGTATCTTGTAATGGCAGATGCCATCGAGTACTGTCATAAGTGGTTTTCTTATTCTGAACAAGTAATGTGCATTATGGTACGTTTCAAGCAAGGCACACGTTAAACATGTTGGGAAAAATAAAGACTATGTCTGTCTTACTTTATGAATTCTATTTGGATTCTGTTAATGCCCCATTGTATTTTGATTTTTGTTTTGAATACAGCTCTCTTGTATTTTTTGGTAGTCTAAGGTATGATGGACTTAATAGTCCATGTCTGAGAAACTCCAACACAAGTATTGAAGGCACACAGAATGGTGTTACCCTGGACTGGAAAGCAGATTTTTTTTACAATAGAACTAACCTTTGAAAGGCTTGGACAAGAAGTCTATGAAATGAGATTCCTGCTCTTGCAAATGTTGGCCACTTTATCCTCCCACTTCTGTTATTCAGCCTGTCCTCAGGAGTGTTTTCTCATCTCCCAGGGTGCGTTCTTGTGCCTTTCTGCCTCAGCTAATGGGGGGATGCTACAGGCTATAGAACAGCAAGGGAGAACTGGAGGACTGCTAGGAGTGCAAAAGTGCTGGGAGACCAGCTGTAGGATCTAATCAAGCTGTGCTGTACAGTACCACAACTCCAGAAGGATCCCAGATGTAGAGCAAACAACTGGCACGACACGGTAAAGACAGCTAGGAGTTACCAATCTTTAAGTGGTAGGATCAAATCATAACACAATGAGACTTCCTAGAATGAGATCAAGCCACAATCTAACAAAAAATTCCAAATATGACCAGATTTAAAGTTTCTGTCCTGTTTCTCCAAGCTAGAAAGCTCCACTCCCTTGGGAATTATGGTGGATCAACACTGTGCACAAGGCTCCCAGCACTCCAATAAGCTTGTACCTTCTTTCAGACAAGCCATTTCTGTATGCCCTGGTCCCACTCACTGTCTCTAGCCTTACCTTTGCTGCCAGTCTTGATCCCTTCCAACGGCTGTTCTTAATCATCCAGTCATAAACATCCCTTTTAACACATAGTCACAGCTGCCAACTTGTTTTTCTTCTTCCAGAGTGGCTGTGGTCATTGATTATCCAAAGTTAAACTGTAATTGGCAAGTAACAAGTGATTTCACAGCTGTTTAAAAATATCCAAGATAATAAAGTCAGAACTTAGGGGGCATGTAGAAAAAAATAGGTTAAATAGGTTACAAAGTAGGTCATTCTTCTGTTATTATTAATTTCTTCTTTTTCCTCTTCAATGTAACATAACATGTAGGGATTTTCCTTTTGTCAGTCTTAATCAGCACTTCTCACCTTTGTCATAAAAACCAAAGAAACTACACTGGGAGCTTCTGACACACTCTTACTTCAGGCCTGTGGTCCAAATTCCATCTTGAGCACTGTTAGTATGAGTTCCACTGGAAAGATTTCCTTGTTTTTCTTTTTGTTTGAATGCTTTTAT